GAGCTGGCGGTCGAACTGCGCCCCGAGCTGCGCCCCGCTGACCCGCGCTCCACGGACTACATCGGACAGACCGGCAACGGACTGTTCCGCATCGCCGGACACAGGTACACACATATACCTATACTACAAGTATATGGAAATCTCAAATGATAACAAACCTATAACACTTGCGTAAAACTGTAATTTTTATTCAAAACAGATGTCTTTTATAATCTAACTTAATGCACTGAAACATTCTAAAAAATCCATAAACAATGAAGAACGTTGTCAGAGTCAGTGACATGTTTGTATAAATGTAATACTGATTCTATGCGACTTTACAAAAGTATACACGTATTATAACGTAGAATGTAAAAAAACGTTAAATAGGACACTACTTCAAGCTTAAAAAGCATTAGCATATGAACAGATATGTGAAAATGAATTTGTTCTATTTGATAGTCTAGCATATGTTTTAAAATCCCCTGTGCGAATAATGGGTAAATCTTTCTTTCGTTTCCAGGTTTCGTAAAGGCACACGTTTTTCAAAGGACGATAAATGCGTGTACTGTCATCAAGCAATCGACGCTTTCATCACTCAAGGCCAGCGCTGCATCGACTGCAAACAACTCTACCACACCAAATGTATACAGAACAAGGGTGTCATCACAATGCCCTGCTCCAGTCCAGTTACTATATCACCCCGAGGACGACATAAATACAGAAAGAGAATTATCAAAGACTCAGCGTATAATTCTCTGTCAGACCAGTCTAAGAGTTCAGTCAGTTCTAATTTCAGTCTGACTGGAACTTCAGAGTTCATGGACAGAACGGATAAGATCATATCGGATGCGACTGAGCTACAAGCGATGCAGAACTTCATCACAAAGAAGATATATCAAATGGAGTCCTCGGAGAATGAAAAACAGTCTGAGGTGAGAATAATCATAAAGTACTAGTTCCCGAGCGGCACCATCCGCATGAAATTATAAAAAACATTATTTTATTGTTTAATATGTGAAATTTTAAATTACAACTGTCAAAATATAAATACACAAATGACAATGAAGGCCTTTGATATTGGATAAAAATTACCGTTGCCATGGTAACTTTGCTTCCTTTTAGTTGTTGTCCCTTTCCCGCATGACGGATTTTTCAAAATTATTCAAGAAGTAATTGCGTAATGCATAATTTTATATGTATGCAGCTGACTGCAAAGTAACGTGTGGTACATTGGTGTTGTAAATGCGCAGGTGGACCGCGTGTTCAAGCACGCGCTGCGCGAGTTCAAGGACAACCTGGTGGCGACGTACAGCGTGGTGGAGACGCGCGGCTCCGCGCTCAAGTACAAGGACCTCATCGGCAACTTCCTGCACGTGATGGAGACGGTGTGCGCGCGCGAGGGCTCCACGCTCTCCATCACCATGGGCGTCAACGCCTTCCGCGGCTTCATGGACGAGTTCATGACACACCACGACACCGACAAGACCAGGACTAAGAGGAAAAAGGATAAGAAACGGAAAGTAAGTTGTCAATCTATACTAATACAGTAGAACTTCTATAAGTTAAAGTCCAAGGAAAACATAAAATATTTTAAGTTATAGAGGTTCTAAGTTATCAAGGATATCTGTTGTAGAAGTTTTGGGCTCTGATGGGAAGAGAACATATAATTTTTGGAAGTTATAGAGGTTTTTAAGTTACCGAGGTTTGTTTGAGTTATCGAGTTTCTACTGTATTATAAAGCGTAAACATACTATCTTCGATTTCTCTCCACTTCTGTAGCCACCCACATTTAATCTTAACACTTTCTGGTTTATGTCCTCTCGTCGCATAACATGTCCATACCACACTAACCTTTTGCTTCTTAATTTCTCGACCAGACACTATTCTCAAACTTCCTCTAATATACACATTCTTGATTTTATCCCTTCTTGTTAGGCTAACAACAAACATAACATATTAAATACTAGCTGTAGCTGGTGACTCCGCCCGCGTAAAATTAAAAAACAATAAAATTATACTTTCTAACAGTGTATGAATATTTAAAAGCGGTCCAGTAGTTTTTGAGTTATTTCAATACATGCAAAAACACAAATCTTTCCTCTTTATAATATTAGTATAGATTAAATATGTGAATATGTATAAATGTTAGGTGGACGAGCCGATCCAGTACAAGGGACATACGTTCATCCTGTGCATGATCAACATCCCCACGGAGTGCGAGATCTGCAAGACCTTCTTCATGTGGCCCATCGAGCGCTCGCTCATCTGCCAGAGCTGCAAGCTCACCTCGCACAAGAAGTGCTACGTCAAGGTAACAAATACACATCTCTACGTACACACAACTATCAAAATGTACCTTTAACATCTCGATAGTAACGTCCGGTTCTCACTTGGCCAGTACAGTTGAATAGTTGCGACGACCATTCTTGTATTGTATAGAATCACTGGTGCCAGTTTATTGGGTTACGAGCTGTTGCTCGAGACTTCGTCCGCGTGGTATTAGAAAACATACGAACTATATAAATTACAAAAAGCTACGTATCCCTCGGGAACCGGACATTTCTCGGGGATG